AGGGGCAGGAGAAGCCAGACGATAGCGTTGGGCAGAGTATAGCAAAATGCCCACAAGTGGAGACGAGACACGTGATCAGCCGATACCTTAGCGACCCCCGGGATGTAAATATAAGTGAGGAAAACTGATAATTGGCCGCCACCCAAGAGAGTCTCCTTAAAACCTCATAACAACCAAAATTATGTCGGTCTTTGTTTACCATGTTGTCTGAGAATAATCTGACCGAGTGACCTGCTCAGCCAGGACCCCAGGCAATTGCTGTCACCACTATTGGTTAAGGCTCGAATAAGGCCGATGTTTGGAAAACCTGTTAGAGACTTGACTTCATTAGTCCCAGGACCCCAGAGCAATTGATTGCCACAGATGGCTGCAAAACCCGAATTGGCTGCAGCATCTGTCCAGAGAGTCAGGGACTTGTCGTAGATTGGAGAATAAACATTGCTTTCCCCTACCATGTTGTGAAAAGAGCAAGCGACATCAGTAAGTCAGCCATCACTTGTGGGTCTAATGTGATGCGAATATTGTCTGAGGGAAGGTCAGGAAACAAACAGAGTAGTCATGAAATAAAGGATCTACCTTGTGTGATGATCCTCATGGAAAAATTGAGTGAACCAAGCATAGACTGTAGTTCTTTACGGGCACAAGAACCTAATTGCAAGTATAGGACAATGTTTGAGAGGTTGTGCTCAATCTTACCCCGAAGAAGACAGGACTGGATGTTGATCGAGTCTAGTTGAATACCCAGAAAAATGTATTACCGTGTCTGGACCTTCTGTCTTTTTAGGGGAGACATGGATTCATTGACCCATGGATGCAAAAAGACTGATTGCTGCTGTGAGACTGCAAGGGGGTGGAAGTTGTCTTCAATAGTGTGAAAATTGTCTAAATAGTGTATAACAGTTGGACATCTGCACACATCAAGTAGCAACCAGCACAAAGTTTCTGCAAAATATCGAATATCTTGGTGCTACCTTGGAACTGAACGTAAGCCGGGAGAAAATAACATAAACCCTGCCACTTAATGCCGTGCAGATGCCAAATTGAGGGGTGAATAGGAAATAGTTTGAATGCATATGACAAAATCGGATTTATTGAGCAATGCTATGGCGCAGATGGCATTGTCAATGGTTTACCAGTGACTATACCAATAGAGTTTGCAACCCAAGAAGTAAAAGGAGGGGACCTAAAAGACCCCAAAACAATTCCCTGTTCCAACTCAGTCTTATCAATTTATTCACCAATTCTGGATCTGCTAGCGCTGTGTGCAAATTATTGCATTCCAGCGTACCAGATGTCAAGTGTATGATACTATCATGAAACCCCTGCAATAACCAATCAAAGAGAAAGTTAACAAATTGTTTTGCGTGTTGGTACCAAAAATAGTTCAGCAAAACACATAACATTAATACCTGTAAGGTAGGTTTTAGGGAACATTTATTTAGGCACCTAGACTAGGCATGAGTCTGAAAGCAGTAGGAACAAACGTGCAATAACCTGCAAGTACAGAAACCGCAAGTACCTGCCTTGAAATTATTGCATGTTTGGGACTTGCCCAAAAAAACGTCCCTTCCCAGCTTATCCTTAACTACCTTATCAGATTTTGTAGGTGTGTAAGAAACCGAATGGCCCCAAGGGACATCTGCCATGTTAGGGCACAAATTCGTTGAGTGTGACATGGATGTGTAAAACTGCATGAGCCGGAATCCTGAGGCTTGCAAAGTGTCTGCAGAAAAACTCTGTATCTAGTCTACTCCAATCCATACTGAAGTTAAACCGAGTCAGAGCTACACATCCAGCCCCTTTCATTTCTCGGACTAGACAGAGCAATTCCCATCCCTATATTTAGAAACCTGAGATATACTGAAATATATAATTACCATTATTGCAAAACCAAACTGGTACTGGCAGACTAGCTATTGCCAAGTGGCAAAATATTCCAATAAAAGGGTGACAGGTGAGGCCCTGCTAGTTGCCAAGTGACTTGAGAAGCTCTAACTATGTATTGGCCCGAGGGTAGTTTTGAGGCCACTGAACATTGTAGCGGGGTGTCGGCCTCTTAGTGACAATTTAAAGCAGAAGTTAGTATGGGAGTGACAGGTGAGTTCCTCTCTATGCAACCATGCAAGGTGGATAGCTATGCTTTGGACTGATGGGTGTATACCTCCAAGTATGAGGATAGGTGTTGGCCTCGTGGGACCACTAGCCTACGGCATAGAGGCTGGAAAATATACAATATTGGACACCTGGGTTTCTAATAGCCAGTAAATGCAGAGCAATACACATCCCTATATTCGGGAACCTGAGACATACTAAAATATAAAATTACCATTAGTGTAAAACCCAACTGGTACTGGCAGTCTACCTATTGCCAAACGGCGAAATAATTCCACTAAAAAGGGTGACAGGTGAGGCCCTGCTAGTTGCCAAGTGGCTTAAGAGGCTCTAACTAGGCCTTTGCCTGAGGCGATTTTGAGGCCACAAAACCTCTCGGTGACAAAGCAGAAAATAGTATGGAAGGAACAGGTGAGTCCCTCTCTATGCAGCTATGCGAGGTAGATAACAATGCGTTGAACCAATGGGCGTATACCTCTGAGTATGAGAATGGGTGTTGGCCTTGCGGGACCACTATCCTATGGCATAGAGACCAGAAAACACACTATTTGGACACCTAGATCCCTGAAAGCCAGTACTCTCCGCTAATAAGGACTATGAACTTAGTAATTGTAAATGTCCTACCAGGGACAGTGAGAATCTGAAATGATGATTCTCTATAGCAGTAGAGTAAGGAGGGTGAGGGTAGTAACGTATGGCAACCTAAAGAAATAACCGTAAAATTGTATGTGAGGATGTGGCAAAACATGTGGGCCAGATCGTGGACCCAAGAGTAACCTACCCAGATTGCTAGTCATAAAAATGCAATTTGGCAAAAATGCCACGAATTAATGAACACCTCATGATTTGAATCATCCTGGACAGATATTGTCACATAGAAATTACAATCTTGAAGTGTTTGCCAAACAGGAACCATTCCCCTGAATAACAGTTCTGAACCGAACCTGTGGGTAGAACATTAATAATACAAATAGATGTTAACCAAATAGCAGGTTTTAGTAGAAATTTTAAAATAAACTTCCCCTCTTATCCACAAATTACAATATGCAAAATTCAAGTGTAATATCGTCCATAACCAGTAGAGGGCACCTTAACCTAAAATTAGTCAAATTTACATTCAGGTCATATCTATTTGTGTAGTTGCTGAATTTAGATATAACAGACAATCGGGAGGAATTGTGCAAACATCCTATGCTTTAAACAAGTGTTCGTGCATTTCCAGTACATATCAAATAGTCATTTCGTATGCATCGGCTAGCGTATGCGAAAGGAGACGAACGAGCTTGAAAGTGCAGTTGAAAGAACCGAAAGCCCCTACCAGACAGAAACTGAGTAATGCGTACGTGTGCTTCTATGTGAAAACTGCCGAACACGTGCAAAACCATAAAAATTGGTAAGTATTAAAATAGACCCAAACAGTGATGACGCCGAACGCACAAGATCGAAGGCGCGACCCAGGCCTAACTTACGGTTCAAACAAGCACTTCTTGGTTAGTCTCTGAGCAAGCTGGAGGAGGAAGAGGGCTGGAAGTGTTCAGTGAGCGGTCAGAATCCGATGGACAGGAGCTAGGAACCAAGACAACTAGGACACAGGTAAAAATAGCAAGATGGAGACTTGTAAATGACAGGAAGTAGTCACACTCAACTTGCCAGACCAATAATGGTATGTGAGAAAGGATTGAAGGCCCTTAAAAGGGGACCCAAGCCCCTTCCACAACTACAGGCCCCGCCTTAAATAAATATATACAGATGTGTTCCTTTTAAGTTTTTGATTTATACCCACATTGATCAAAAATATAAAGAAAACTCAAGTTTTTTCATGATCTTGGGTCCGATCCAAATCGAACATCAAAGTTAAAGGAACACTATATTGCCTGTTCCCAGTAAGACAGAGACCCCCCTCCCCCAAAATTTAATTCTGAAAATAAATAGTTATACTCACATTTTTACATCTCTGAAACTCCCTTGGCACTGCTCCCCTCTGTGCTTCCCACAACGTAATCAAGGAGGCATGGCCTGCTTTGGTGATCATTCAATTCAATGCTCCTCACGCATTCAAGCTTCCCCATAGAAAAGGATTGTATTCAATGCTGTCATATGAGCTACCATGTCATGTGACTGAGTTTTACGCATTTAGAGCAGCAAAAACACCTCTAGTGCTTGTCAGGAAGAGGCCGCGGATTGAGGGAGCTACTTGGTAACAAAACACATTTTGTATTATTGGACTGGGTGATTCCACCTAATATACACTGATCAGCCACAACATTAAAAACACTAACAGGTGAAGTGAATAGCATTGAATATATTGTTACAATGGCACCTGTGAATGGGTGGGATATATTAGGCAGCAAGTGAACAATTTTAAATTCCATGTGTTGGAAGCAGGAAAAATGAGCAAGTATAAAGATTTGAGTGACTTTGACAAGGGCAAATAGTGATACCTAGACAACTGGGTCAGAGCATCTCCAAAATGACAAGTCTTGTGGGGTACACATGGGAAACAAAGGCTAGCCTGTCTTGTCCAATCATATAGAAGAGCTACTGCAGCCTTAAATTGCTGAAAAGAATATGATCAGTGGCGTACACACAATACATGGGGCCCCGGTGCGAAACTGATCCGTGGGCCCCCCCCCCACAATCTGTGCCCTCCCCCCTCCGACACATAAATACAGACACAGACATACACAGAGGCACACACACATACACACAGACACATACATAGGCACACACGCATACACACAGACACATACACACACAGACACATACATACAGACACACACATACAGACACACACATACACACAGTCACATGCATACACGCACAGACACATACAGACACACACACATACAGATACATACAGAGACATACACACATACAGTCTGTATATGTGTATGTATGTGTCTGTGTGTGTCTCTGTATGTGTGTGACACAGACACATACATACAGAGACACACATGCACACGCATACATACACATACATACAGACATAAACATACAAAATGTTTAAGTCACCCTCATGTTTCCTACCTTTTGCAGGAGGATGACTTCCCTGGGGTCCAGTGTGGGCTCAGCCTGATGGGAGTTAGAGTTCCCACTCTGACTCCCTCCTCCTTCCTCTCGTGCGGCTCTGTCAGATAGCTGGGAGGAGTGAAGTGCTGTCATTTCCTCCCAGCTTTGTCTGACATCATCACAGTGGGCCCGGTCAGCACTGGGCGTGCTGTTAAAGGGCCCAGCGCTGACAGGGCCCCCTGACAATCCATCTCCATCGGGTGGCCCTGACAGCATGGGCCACCCGATGGACCCCTTAACATGTGGCCCTGGCCGTGCGGGTCGGGGCCGCAAAAGATGGTGGCAGCTGGTACCCGGTCGCAGGGGTCCACAGGGCGGCTAGGCCCCCGGAGTGATGGGCCCGGTTGCAGCTGCGACCCCTGCGACCGTGGTATCTACCCCGCTGGCCATGATAGAAAGGTGTCAGAACAGATAGTGCTGCATTGGGGCTGTATAGCTGCAGACCGATCAAAGTGACCATGATAACCACAGTCCAATGCCAATAGAGCCTTCAATGGAGCAATAGAAGAATGTTGCTTGGTCTGATGAATCCATTTTCTTTTAAATCAGGTGGATGGCTAGGTGTGTGTGCGTCATTTACCTGGGGGAGAAATGACAGCATGATGTACTATAGGTAGAAGACAGGTTGGCGGAGGCGGTGTTATGCTCTGTGCAATGTTCTGATGGGAATCCTTGGATCCTGGCATACATTTGGATGTTATTTTGACATGTACCGCCTACCTAGAAATTATTGCAGACCACATGCACCCCATCATGGCAATGGTGCTCCCTAATGGCCATGACCTCTTCAGCAAAATAATGCACCATGCCACTGTGCAAAAAATGTTCAGGAATGGTTTGAAGAACATGACAAAGGGATCAAGGTGTTGCCTTGGCCTCCAAATTTCTCAGAACTCCATTCGATTGAGCATCTGTCAGATGTGCTGGAACAACACATTTGATCCTTGGAGACTCCACCTCACAACTTGCAAGACTTATGTTAACTGCTATTAATGTCATGATGTCAGACACCACAGGACACGTTCAGAGGTCTTGTGGAGGGCTTGTAATGCATGCAAAAAGGTGATTAGATGGGTTCAACTAGACAATGAGAATGTGATAGCCAAAGTGAGCAAAACCAACCCCCAAAATATTAAGTACACAAATTGTAAAAAACAAAGTGTAAGTACACTGTAATTAGAGATGAGTGTTAATTAGCGAAGACCTGGAAAAGGCAGAGATTTTAATCAACTAATTTTCCTCAGTACAAATTAAGGAGCAACCTACGGTAGGAAATATGCAAATGCTTGCAGCAAATAAAACTAGCTGAAAAATTGTGATTGGATGACTCAAGAGAAGATGCTACTGCAACTACAGAAAGTTAAAAATTTTCAACAAAGCCCTAGGTTTTTGGTATTCACCCAGAAGTATTTAAGGGGCTAGGTTTGAAAATAACCAAACCTATGATTTTAATCTCTCTGGATTTTTACTGGACGATTGAGGAAGGCTGATGTGATTGACATCTACTCAGTCCTGAGTATTGCTAACAACTCTGCTGCCACTGCCACCATCACCACCAGAAGTATCCCCACTGGAAGCAGTATTCAGCCTCAGGATAATGGTACAAGCATATCCATTACATCCAATTAGCCAACAATAAGGGTGAACATTTTGTTTCTTTGAATTACACTGCAGTAATTGGTAACTCAAAGAAGAATGTGTAGTTGAAGGAACAGAGACAGCTAGGCCCAGCATATTATCCAGAAATAGGTACAGGAGAGTACCTAAGTAGTGTCCCAAATGTCTGGTATTGGTGGTGGTGAAGATGAATCTGGAAATGACGATATTACTCCTACCCCATCCAGTGACATAGTTTATTTTTTTATGGCCCAGGAGGAATTTCAAAATGAGCCAGATAAACTACATTAGTCTTGAGAAGACAGGCAGAGGACAGGCAGAACTCCACTACTATTTTCTCCAACTAGTCTGCACTTTTCTCCTGCTGCTAATTTTCCACTTTGATTAAGACCATCTCTATCTGCTTTTTACAATTCTTCAAGAGAGTTTAAAGATAAATAGCGCCACAATAATACCCAATAACCAGTGCAGCACAAACTCACCCAAGTGTTATGCCACAAAAACACTTATACATACATAAATAAAGTGATAGCGCAGTAATGGTAGTTGTATTACACACTGGCAGAAGTAGGCAGGATAAAACCTATTAATAAAAACATAAAAGTGACATAGCGCAGACTGTACAAAGTGGTATCCGTGTAACAAATATAGAGGACACTCACATATTTAAGAGCCCTTCAGGTTGGCTCTGAACTCAGTAGGTATGGTAAAACCTCTCAAAGAATTGCTGTGTAGACGGTCCCAGCGATATTTTTCTCAGATGAAGTTCAGGAAGCATACGTTTTGTAAGTACTTTATTACAATAAGTAAAAAACACAAGAAACTTAGGGATAAAAGCTAATAGCGCAAGACGTTTCAACCGTAGCTGGTCTTCCTCAGGTACATATCCTACTGGGTTCAAAATGTTCTGTTTTATACCATAGCTGATTATAAAATCCACAACATGTGTAACAAATGAAATACCCATATATGGTATTTCCGGTATATTCCACCATTAAAAGAAGGTCAGTACATCTAAGCCCATTACTAGTCTCCCAATACATATAAAAAATCCATCCACAGTATCTCCATTCAAACTCCGCCTTTTCTGTCCATTCTTGTCCATTCTTGGTCTCTCACTGCGGTTTACAAGATGGGGCTGTGGTAGTGAGAGACAAATTTGTTGATTTGCAGTGTGCTTCAGTTCAACTGTTTATGCTTTGAAAATTGCAAGCTTCTGTTAAGACACCTCCAGTGTCTTTAGGCAAAACCGCCGTTTAGTAGATCTTCCCCGGCTGCAATATCAGTAACTCCGTTCGCCTAACCTGTAGTGCACGAACCAAATGCAGGGGAAGCGGCAATCTCCCGACCGGGATCTGTGAACGGCTCCAAACTCCCGAACGGCAATACACGAACTGCTGCTAGCCGCCGAACAACAATATTCACCAAGCGGCTTCCATTCCATCCAGCAGTCTCTAAACGTGAAGAAGAAATCCCCCCAATAACGAGACAGAAGCTCCGCATTGAGGGTCAAACAGGATCTGGCTTTACTGTGGGCTACCTGCCCGTATTTATGCAGGTCTCCCTCTTGGTGGACACTCCCCTAGGGGACCAAATGGGAGACTTAAATGACAGACAGATATGGGGACATTCCAGACACACAGTCACAGATTTTACCCACAGTGCATTATGATTCCCTCCCCTCTGCCCTGGAGATAATTACCAAGGAACTCAATTATCTCCAAGACAAAGCCAGTCACCATCTTAAATATAAACTCATAAAAGACATAAAAATGCATAACTTTAAAATAACCGAACATTTCCCATTCGTATCACATATCCCCAGATAGCCTGGATCTGAGTGCATATTATTAGCGAATAGCGCTCAGATCCCACACACATAGTTCAATCGCCATGGAGTCAAAGTTCTTACAGTCTTTCGGTATACGAATGACTCCATGGGAAGGCTATCTGGGTTAAGTCTTTTCGTATGCTCCAAACCTCCCGAACGGCCGGTATTCGTATGCTTTCGTGGAGACAGCCAGGCGTTCCGTTGTTTCAGCGGTGTTCGGCAGAAAAAGTGTCCGTTTTTAGTTCCATAGAAATAGAGCCAAACACCGCTGGGCTTTCGCGTGGTTTAAAATGGCCGCTGCCTCGTGGTCGACATACGAACGACGACCACCCTGAATTCGGTTTAATTGAGAAGTGTCTGTGGTTAACCACAACACTCTAATTGGGATCAATAGGTTAACCAGCAGCACACTTCTCTCCTGGGTGGCCGTCCGTTCGGCAGGTTTGTTCGGGAAAAAAGTCATTAGAATGGCTGGGATATAGAAAACAGCCATTCATACGAACGGGATACAAACAGACGAATACATCCCAAATACAAGCAGACAGATGGTTCTGTCACAGCTTCTTTCTTCAGTAACATATAGTGTGTCACAGTTTAGAAAAACAAACATAGTGTACCAGTTTAAAAGGTAAGATTCCTTTTATTTCAAACTGCAGGATGGATTTCTTAGGCTTGCATATCGTGATATGTGTATGCAGACTCAGGGTATGGTGTTTTGGCAGTTAATTGTAGTCGGTAGCAGGATAGCAGCTTACAATCCACACAAATAAAATAAGATCAAATATAAACTAATAATTGAATACAAAATACAATTAAATAAATAAAAATTAAAGTCACTATATTGTTCTCCCAGCCCTACGCGTTTTGGCCTTCAAACGGACTTCCTCAGGGGAATCCTGTAGTGATGTTGCCGGTCTCCGTTGGGATTCTTTTTAATGATCCTGTTCGCGCCTTCTCAAGCTAATAGGAAAGGGCAGTTAGATAAAAATCACCTGAATTCCGATTTACTAGAATTAAGAGAAATTGTACAGACAAAAAATCTTTTATAGAACAAAGCAATTTTTTTAAAGCAGAAATGTATTGAAAAAGGATATTCTCCGTCCTTTTTAAATAATGAAATTGTTATGATTAGGAAGAAAAATAGAAATTAATTTTTAACAGATAAGAGTGGTCTTACCACTAAAAACAAAGAGTTTGGCTTTTCTTTTATTACACAATATAATGCCCAAGCATTTAAAATTCAGAAAATAATCAAAAAGCATTGGCCATTACTATTAGAAGATACATTTTTACAACATAAAATACCCCCTGCACTGAAAATTTTTATTATTATTTTATTATATTATTATTTATATTATCTTTCTCGAATTCTACTATAATTTCCATTTTTCCAACTCTGAATCACATTTTTTTGCATGTTTTGATAGTTCTAGGCTGTTGGCGGGCATTTTTGT